CTCAAGGAGCCTGGGTTCCACCTTGTTGGGCCCAGAAGAAGGCCTCATCCTGCTGCCTACAATGCAGCGTTCCTGGGTGGTGGTGGGCATGGCACAGCAAAGTGAGAAGCATGGAGGAGGTTTTCACAGTCTGGAGGAGACCACAGGTGGTCTTGGAAGCTAGCCAGCATTTTAGGCTATGGAGCCCACTGATCCTGGGTCTGGCTTGACTTCCATGTCCCACAGGGGAAACCTCCCGCTGCAGCAAAGACAGACCAAGGCCCTAAGGGTCCTGAAAGGTGAGCGGAGCCTGGAGGACGGCAGGTGCAATGGTTGGTGGCCCGGGAGGTTGGGTTGATGCCAGCAGAGAAACAGAAGTGATGACATAGGTGCCCACCAGAAGTTCCCAAAGATTTTCTGGCTGCTTGTAGGTCTGTGCATATAATATGAAGGAGCATCTGTCAGGAGAGGAACTGGACAATCCACATAAACCAAAAGCATGGAATACTTACCCCTCTAATTTTGACATAGAACTCTACCTTGAGCAAGTATTTTGATGCAACATAATCTAGATTTACAGTGCAGAGCACTCTGAGACACTGGTGGCCAAACCCTTGCTGATTTATATTGTGTGCATATTCTTGAGAAACTCATTAAATAAATTATGTATATATATTCGAAGTAATTTCTTTTGGAGGGGATATTTTCATTATCTTTATGTAGTTGTACAAAGGAGTTGCCATTCACTGAAGCAATTAATATGGTGCATCCTGATAAATGTCAGCCCTTCAACGTTCTTATCCACCCCTCCCTACCCACTCCTCTTAATTCTAGGTTATATATTGCAATTTAACAATGCAGTTTACATGTATGATGCATCTTGATCTGTGTCACTAAAATCTTTACCCCCACTTTGACCCATCTTGTATTTCTCATTTCTCTTGTGTTTTTGTTTGTGCTAGCACTGGGGCTTGAACTCTGGACCTCATTCCAAGCTGGTGCTCTACCATTTGAGCCATGCTTCCATTTGCTGGTTAATTGGAAATAAGAGACTTGAGGACCTGTCTGTCATGGCTGGCTTTGAGTCTCCAACCTCCAGATGTCAGCCTCCTAAATAGCTAGGATTATAGGCATCAGTCAGCAGTGTCCAGCTTCATGGATGTCTCTCTTGAAAGCATATACTTCACACACTATGTGAACACAGAACACAGAGTAACAGTGGGGACCCATGGAAGAACTATGAAATAGCTTAAAACTTCAATCTAAAAATTGTGATCTTACTAATACCCGCATATATACTCCCATGTTTTTACACAGTGGTTTTTTTGCTCTGTTTTACATTTGCCATTTCTGATATCAGAAAACAGATTGCTTGACTGACAACTATTCATACATCAGATTGGCAGGAAGTTTTAAAGCCAGAGGGGAGAGAGATTTTATACTCTTACCCCTCACCTTGACAGCACTCGTGACACAAGAGGCACTTATGACAAACCATCTTTGACTATAGACAGACAAAGGAGAACAAAAGGATTTTGAGAAATAAGAATTAATCTCAGGGGCTGGGAAGGAAGGTGGTGCAGTGGTAGATTGCTTGCCTTGCATGCATGAGGCCCTGAGTTCTATTCCTCAGCACCACATAAGCAGAAAAAGCCGAAAGTGGCGCTGTGGCTCAAGTGGTAGAGGGCTAGCCTTGAGCTGAAGAGTTGAGGGACAGCGCCCAGGCCCAGAGATCAGGCCCCACAACTGACCCCCACACACACAAAAAAGGGGGGGATTAATCTCAATAACTTCTGCTTTTGTGTAACATCAAAGATGAGTTCAACGAAATAGTATCTAGATTTCCTATTTGAAAATCCACCACCTCTGCTCACAACCAACTTTACCTAGGCCTTGGGAACACTGTGAAGGAAAGACACATTTATAAACACTGGCTAAACCTGTGGACACACACAGTCATCATCACTTTCTCTTTAATACAGATTGAAGTACCTTCACTGGCACACTATTTTAAGGCCATGATTGCCCTCAAAAAAGTTCTGTTTTGGCACTTGGCTACAGCAAGACTGCCTTTGCAACATTACTATTGAAAAATGCTTGTTGCAGTTAAATAAAGCCATCACCTTGAGCATGGCTGATTGTTGGTACTCGTATGGTACTAAAACAAAACTCACTGTAGCCTCGTGTTAGGTAAATAATGATAGAGCACTCAGACATCCTTCAACAAAATATTATAAACAAGTTATATTTTTGTCTGGAATACAGATCTGAAATGGTACCAATTATAACCAAAGAGTGAAACTGAAACAGATTAAGCAAATACAATAAAAGCAAAAATTCTGACAGGCTTCCCATCCTCACTTGCACTGCTTAAGATAATTAAATCTTTTTTTGGGGGGGGGGGTTCTGGTCGTGGGGCCTGAACTCTGGGCCAGGGCGCTGTCCCTCAGCTCTTCAGCTCAAGGCTAGTGTTCTACCACTTGAGCCACAGCGCCACTTCCGGCTTTTTTCTTTTTGCTTATGTGGTTCTGGGGAATCGAACCCAGGGCCACATGCATGCCAGGCAAGCGCTCTACCACTGAGCCACCTTCCCAGCCCCAGATAATTAAATCTTTACTGGACGGCCTGTGAAAAGACCTATCGCCAACAGGACTAACGAATTAGCTTCCAGGCACTGAGCAAAGAGACCAAGGACACTCAGTCATTTCTTCCCCGTGGGAGGCCAGTTCTATTTTCTGCCTTTGTTTCAATCCTGGCCTGTTTGGATGAACCACTACTCTGTAGCTATAGAACATTCAGCATGAAGAGAAAATTAAAGTATAAAAATGGTTTTCATCGGGTACCAGTGGCTCATCCTGTAATCCTAGCTATTCAGGTGGGTGACATCTAAGGATAGCCATTTGAAGCCAGCATGGGCATCAAAGTCCATGACACTCTTTATCTCCAATTCCTCCCCAAAAACCTGGAAGTAGGTAGAGCTGTGGCTCAAGTGGTAAAGTGGTAACCTTGAGCAAAAAAGCTTGAGGACAGAGCCCAGGCTCTTAGATTAAGCTCCAGGACCAGGAGAAGGAAGGAAGGAAGGAAGGAAGGAAGGAAGGAAGGAAGGAAGGAAGGAAGGAAGGAAGGAAGGAAGGAAGGAAGGAAGGAAGGAAGGAAGGGGAAGGAAGGGAGGAAGGAGGGAGGGAGGAAGGAAGGAAGGGGAAGGGGAAGGAAGGGAGGAAGGAGGGAGGGAGGAAGGGTGCGAAGGAAGGAAGGAAGTTGGTATTCTCAAAAGAACACTTCTGGCTAGAGAACAAAGCACACCCAACATCCTCTTCTCTCCAGGGTGGCAACAGCATGCTTCCCTTACCCTGCTATTCCTGGCACTGTGGCAAAGGGCTGCCAGATCCTGGGTGATAAAAGCAAGCTTGAGACTGGAGATTTTCCCCATTCTTACAATCTAACACAGACAGACATAGCAAGGACATAGTAACATGGTTGCCACACTTGCTTTGGCTTTCCAGGCAGCGTTAAGAACGCATATTACTGAGAGCATGCTACTGGTCTTGGAGCACCACAGAACAATGAGGCTAAGTTTCTCAGTGAGAATGACCTCTTTTTTAAAAAAAAAATTTTTTTATTTTGTTGTAAAGATTCTGTACAGAGAAGTTACAGTTACATGAGTAACATAATGAGTACATTTCTTGTCGACCATTGTTACCCCCAAGAATGGCCTCCTATACAACATGGCTGAAGAACTGCCCACCCCAGGTCCATGAGGATCAGAAGGACCATGGGGTTTGTTTGTTTTTTTTCCTTTTTATGTGGAACATACAAAATCAGCTCGCTTGATAAAACTGCATTTTTTGTGTTCTAATGCTCTATAAAGTCATATCTCCTCTACAGGCACCATTAAAATTCATGAGCAACCTCTCACACTAACAAAGAAGGCTCCAACACTGAAGTGAGGCTTCTTCAAGAACTTGTGGATTCAGAGGCAAACTTTAGAATGGGTCAGTCGAGACTCCACAGCCTCTACTCATTGGGGAGTATAAGCTCTCAGCCCTTCCTGGCTCTGTTGGAGAAGACTTTCACCCACTGAGTTCTACCACTCAATCACTAAACACAAAGACAAGGCTTCTCTTAGCTTTGGCATTCTCTGTTTCCTGGATCCACTTCAGACTGGTGGCAGGATGGTCCAAAGGAAATCACAGCGTTCAAAGGCCCAAAGAACACCCTGGAATCCACCTGGATCCAGATGGCTGGAGACCACATGGGTCTTTCTCAAAGCACCGCCCATCTATTCCCAGTTCCTCTTCTTCAATTAGTAGCCCAGGGCAGGGAAGCTCTTTGGGAAGCTGGTGAGGGCCATGCTGCTTTCCAAAGGTCAGCAAAACTGGACCACACTCTGCAGTCCAGTCAAGACTGCGGACTACATTCAGAACCCTTCTAGAAAATGAATGGCACTATTTTAAGAGTACTGCATCTGGGCAAAAATGTAGGATGCCTACCCTAAAATTTCATCAAGAATCTAGAAGCCATACAAATGTGCAGATACAGTCTCTTAAAAATCTAGATATTTTAGTTCTCAAGTTCCATTATAAAATCTTTGACTTCTTAGTACACAGGTTCAGGACACTTAAAAAAACAAAAAATACACTTACATCTAAAACAGATGCTGTAATCACTTATAACTACTTTTGTGGAAAATGGTCACCTGTGGGGTTTCAGCTATTTCTATTTGCAATGAAACACTGAGCAAATGGTGTTTCTGTCAGTACATAACTATACAAACTGCATGTGTACATTATGTAGCTTTATGCAGAAATCACACCCAAGCAGAAGTATATTTGACCTTTCAAGTTAAGTGCATAAGGCTACCAGCCAGATGTTTATTTCATCAAGGACAACAAAAGTAGCAAGTTTTCTCTTGTAGTACAATCATGGACACAAGTTATATTATGTAAAATAGAGGCTTTGCCATAAAGTTTTAAGATGTAGGGTACAAGAAGGGAGGTGATGAGCAAAATCGTCCATAAATGAAAGTAATTAGACATTTTTACCATACTCCATGAAACCCTGAGATGAACAGTAGTTCTTAAATGTCTGTGCTTGGATCCAGACCCACCAGGACACTTCAGTAGGCTTCCAGCTGGCTCATCATCAACTTCCTGCTGTATTCATATGCCAAAAATAGTGAGCCATTGGCAGGGAATGCTCGAATCATAGTAGGTTTCAATCCAGAATATAAGGCTGTTATTCCTAGGAGACAAAATGGTGATCAAAGACTGTGACAATCCCCTTCTTAGGGATAGTCATATGCTATAAAACCCAACAAGTGAAGAAAGAATTTATTTCCAGGTATCCCTAAGGAAAATAGTCAAAACAAGACAAGGATCAGGCTTTCTCACAAAGGTGGTTCATGCTAGGGGCAAAACAGATTATTTCCATGCCTGGCTAACTCCTGGGAAATGGATGGCGCAACACGAAGGCCTGCTATGGCCAGAAGGAGGGAACTGGAGCCATAGGTGACAGCAAGATCACCAACAGTGAAGGCTTTGAGGATGGATTGGATAAGGGAAGCATGCATACTTTATAAAACTATAAAGTGTCATGCAAACTTAAGGAAGTTGAGGTTACTAGTATTAAATAGAGTTTGTGTGCTACAGGGGACATGAATTAAACAATTCATGTGTGTGTCTGTGTGTCTGTGTATGCCAATACTAAGGCTTGAACCCAGGGCCTGGTTGCTATCCCTGAGTTTTTGTGCTCAGAGCTAGCATTCTATCAACTACAGTTCCACTTTCTGCCCTTTGCTAGTTAATTGGAAATAGTCCCTTGAGCTTTCCTGCCCAGGCTGGCTTTGAACTACACTCCTCAGCTATCAGCCTCTCAAGTAGCTAGGATTACAGGTGTGAACCACCAGTGCTCAACTTAACCCAAGTTTTAAAATATGTAATGGTTGCTAGAACAGGTTTTCACAGATTCCATGGAGTTGGTTACTATACAAGTTAACACTTAAAGTCATTATTCTCCTGCCTAACTCTAAAAGTTGCCCCCAAGTCACTTCAGAAGCTGCTTGTTTATTTCTGACTTCAGAAATGTCATCACTAAGAATGTTGTATTTCTGTAAAGCCCTTATTCATCCTCTTACACATCATCTTTGCATAGATCTAACTTCAAACCATAGGAAGTCCACATCCTCAACAATCCTTTTAGGCTATTTAGAACAAAAGATCATGCCAGGCCCCTGCCCTGCTATTAGGGGTTAGTTGACAGGACAACAATAAAAGAACCAATTGACTGGGTGTACCTAATCTGTTTCTGCACTCAGCACAACTCACCTTCGGTTTTCAAAACACTAAGAAAGGTTCCAACAAACCCTGCCTGCTTTCCAGACATGGAAAGCACTTGAATTCTAGATTTGATACAATCCACTGGGTAGACAGCAAGCCATAGGCAAATTCCACCAATTCCGCCACTTAGCATCAAAGGCACAGGGCCTAGAGGAGAAAAATAGCAAATAAGAGTTGATCTTCAGTGTCATTTTCAGAGATCAGTGGAGCAGTGGTACAGGCAATGAGAACAGTAATGCTGGAGGATACAATTCTTCAAGAAAACTCTTGGAGGACACAAGGTTCCATGTGGTCATTGGGTCTGTCCTTGGCCTCACTAGGACAGGAAACCTTAGCAAGGCTTGTGTTAAGCTGGGGTCACATGTAGTGTGGCCACACCTCTGGTCCTATCCTCAGTGGGGGCTGGCCCACCTAGAACAGCAGGTCTCATCGATGGGCGATGAGAAGACAGGCCTCTGCAGCCAAGTCCATGTATTTTTTAACTTTCTCACCCTTATTTTCATATTTGATTTTGTTTTGTTTTGGGGAGCTGTTCCTGGGGCTTGAACTCAGGACCTGTGCACTGTTCCTTGCGATTTTTTTTTCTCTCAAGGCTAGCACTCTACCACTTGCGCCACAGAGCCACTTGTAGCTTTTTTTTTTCTGAGTAGTTAATGAAGATAAGAGTCCCAAAGACTCTTGCTGGCTTTGGACTGTAATCCTCAGATCTCAGCCTCTTGAGTAGCTAGGATTACAAGTGTCAGCAACAAATACCCAACTCCTCTTGTGACTGTATTTTAATACCCAACAACTCCATTTTTTTTTTCATTTAAGAAAGTATCTTGGGCTGGGAAGGTGGCTCAGTGGTAGAGCGCTTGCCTTGCATGCATGAGGCCCTGGGTTCGATTTCTCAGCGCCATATAAGCAAAAAAGAAAAAAACTGGAAGTGGCACTGTGGCTCTAATGGTAGAGCGCTAGCCTTGAGCTGAAGAGCTGAGGGACAGTGTCCAGGCCCAGAGTTCAGGCCTCACGACCGGACCAAAGAAAACCAAAAAAACAAAAAAAAGAAAGTATCTTACTAAATACATTAGTTTAGTCTAGGAGCCTGACTAACCACAGTTTATATCAATTCACTGAAATGAGATGCTTAAGAAAAACCAACTCACAAATGCAGCAGATACTCACTAGACACTATGTTGTAAACAAACTGTACAACTTGTAGGTGGGAATGGAGGGAAAAACTGGGAGACAGCAAGGGAAGCTGTGACATTGTCCAAAAAGAAACATATCTTGACTTATTGTAACTGTAACCTCTCTGTACAGCACCTTTATAACAACAATATAAATCGTTTACAAAGAAAAACATGTTAATTTTTGACACATAGTGTCAAGCACACAGTTGTGCCCAGCAGTTTAATAGGATAAGTTAGAACTCTTCACTGTGTTCTTCACTGCTACCAAGACATTGCCAAGCTTGATTTGATTAGTGGGAGGTGTGTGTGTGTGCGTGTGCGTGTGCGTGTGTGTGTGTAAGCTTGATTTGATTAGTGGGAGGTGTGTGTGTGTGTGTGTGTGTGTGTGTGTGTGTGTGTGTGTGTGTGTACACATTGGGGCTTGAACTCAAGGCCTTCACTTCTGCTTGGCTTTTTTGCTCATGGTTAAGGTGTTACCATTTGATCCATGCCTCCAGTTCCACTATCAAGATTCATTTACAGGCTTTTTCATCATCATACTGATTTCTACATGGAGAAAATAATCTCTGCATTTATTCTTCCTTAAAAGAACAACACTGTTGAAACAGTCTGGGAGACACTGATTCAGTTCCTGTCCTGAGGAACGTCATGCCCCTTAGGAGAGGGTCCTCGCAGTCACCTACTGTTGGGAAGCTTCTGGCATCAAAAGCCTTCGTGGGGATCACAAAGGAGTGCACAGATCAGATGACTGCAGAAACCACACCCCCAGGAAGCAGAGATCATCAGACCAAAATTCTGTCAACGCACACATAGTTACCTAATTCATCTTTTGATCTTCCCGATGCAAAACCTGACCGGCTTAGTTCATAACCACCAAAGAAGAAGAAATAGCCTGGTACTTCTCGAAGTAGAGTGCTTGAAAGGCCATGGTAGAAGCCCAAGGGACCATCTTTCTTTCTTTTTTTTTTTTTTTTTTTAAATTTTATTTTATTTTATTTGAGAACATACTGTACAGAGGGGTTACAATTACATGGGCAGGATAATGCATACATTTCTTACCAAGCATTGCAGCCTCCTCCTTTGTTTACCCTTCACCTCCCTTCCCAGCCTCCCCCCTCCCCCGCACCCAATCATACCCCCTCCCCCCCCCCACACCGACATTGTAAAACTGGTTTTGACATGACATTTTGTACTTCTCATTGTTGCAACAGGTCCACCTGAAAGGGACCATCTTTCTTAAGGATGCTCTTCACCACAGACCAAACTGTACTGGAAGGGACACCGTGAGAAAGAGTTAGGACAGGCAAGCCCTAAGCTGACAAAAATGAGCACACCAAACATCTTCCTTCTGAGAGCTAGCTCCCAAGAGCTCCATCAGACATTCCCTGCTGGCCAGGCCCATCCACTACTTCCTTTCCTTGTGCAGTGTGCAGAAGTAATCTACCTTGCACAGTTAGTCTGCCATCCACACATCTTCTGTACACTGTTATACCCCAAGCACAAAAGCAATACTTCTTTTTGCTTGTTTTGTTTCATTTTGTTTTGGTCTAGTCATGGGGCCTGAACTCTGGGCCTGGGCGCTGTCCCTCAGCTCTTCATCTCAAGGCTAGCACTCTACCACTTGAGCCACAGCGCCACTTCTAGCTTTTTTCTTTTTGCTTATGTGGTACTGAGGAATCGAACCCAGGGCTTCAGGCAGGCAAGGCAAGCGCTCTACCACTGAGCCACCTTCCCAGCCCCGCAATACTTCTTTACAAGGTGTTTATCTGCCTAAATCCACTGGACATAATCATTAACTATCTTTAAATTATTGTAAACAATTTTCAGGGCACATGAAGATAGCCTTTTCAGTGCTATTGATTTTCTACTACTTAATCTGGGTACTGGTTACATTCATGACTTTACTTCATGGATGTTTATAGAACCCAGAATACATGCATGTATTTACACTACTGTGTGCTATAGTTCAACAACAGAAAGTTCTCAAGCCTTACAGGCTTGAGCTTCCAGACAAGAAACAATAGATTCAAGTTGGTTGGAATGAACTGAAAGCTGTAGAAAATAGGGCACTGTAAGGAGCAGACAGATCGCTGAAATTGGTCAACCTGCCAACAGAAATAATGAGTGTGTGCAGAGCCTGAGCCCTTTGTGGTACATTTGGAGGGCTGCAGAGGATGGGAAGTCTCTATTAGGATCTCAAGGATTAGCATGAACACTCATGTGAAACCTGAGAATGGGCATTCACAGTCCACATCAGAACAAAAGCAAGCTCAGCTCTCAGATCTGGTTCAAAGCTGCCTGCTAGGTCCCCTCCCAAATATGGATGAAGATCAAGCCTTTTGCACCCAAGGACAAAAGCAAATTATTCGGCTTCTAGTTTCACCATTTCTGCCTAAGACCTCCTACAGGGTGGGGTGGTGGGATCAATCCTTTCAGGAAACTATCCTCTGACGATTAGGGGAAAGTATACTGGAAAACAGCACTTGGGAGTAGATAAACCCAATTTTGACAACACTATATAAAATGAAACATCACTCCATACACTGAGGCAAGAGAGACCAAGCATCAGGGCCTCAACATTCAGAGCTTACTTCTGGCTTTTGGCTATCTTTCCCGATGTCTCCATCTCAAACATGGTCTGGAGCCGGCACTTCACGAGTTCTGTAGGGCAGAGCACCAAGGCAGCAAAGGCAGAGGCAAAGGACCCGGCGGCCGCATTCTACAGATCACTGAAAGCAGAGAAGGCAGATGGCCATCAGGCCCCTCCTGCAGCTCTCATCTTACAGGAAGGGAGACTTGCACATGTCGTCCCATCCAGAGACCCATGACTCTGTGAGATGACAATATCCCAGTCTCCACATGAGGACAGGATGCCTAGAGATGCCATATAACATGCTAAACTCACACAGCTACTTAGTGGTAGTGCTAGAAGTCAAACCCAGCCCTGTAACATCCATGTTGAGTTTGTTCATGTGTGTGTGTGTGTGTGTGTGTGTGTGTGTGTGTGTGTGTGTGTGTTGTGTTTATCAGTGCTAGCGCCAGAGCCCAGGCTCTTGTGCATGCTGGCCAGGAGTTCTAGCACACAGCCATAAACTAGAGGCTTATTCCTGCTCCCAAACTCATATATTGAAAAGCTTAAGTTCTTGTGTGATATAGTTGGAGAACAGGTCCTTGAGAGCCAATCAAGGTTTAGATTAGGTCATAAGCATGGGAGAGTCATCGTGGGATTTGTGTCCTTATAAGAAGGGACCAGAAGCCAGGCACTGGTGGCTTACACCTGTAATTCTAGCTACTCAGGAGGCTGAGATCTGAGGATTTCATGGTTCAAAGCCAGCCCAGACAGGAAAGTCCATGAGACTCTTATCTCCGATAAACCACTAGAAAACCAGAAGTAGCACTATGGCTCAAGCGGTAGAGCAATAGCCTTGAGCTGAAGAGTGCAGGGACAGCACCCAGGCCCAGAGTTCAAACCCCATGACTAACCAGGAGGACATAGTCCAAGGCATGTCTATAAAACCAGAAGCAAGCCTTTGCCAGACATCAAGTCTGTGAGTATCTTGATTTTAGACTCCCCAGCCTTGAGAATTATGAGAAATGACTGTTACTCAAGCTGCCCAATTTTTAGTATTCTGTTTTAACAGTGATGCATGAAGCCAAAAGATCACAGAAAACACATGGAGGGGGAAAATACTACCCGTAGTCCCATTACCCAAAACATTGCAAACACTTCAGTGTATATGGCACTAAACCATAAATAAAGTTCTGAGGCTATCCCTTCCTACCCAAATCCAAGGTGATGTAAACCAACCCAATGATGAAAGCCCAGTATCAATTTCTAACTAGAATTCCTTACACTGCAAAAAGACTTTTTAATTCAGTGGACAGCCTCCTGCTATGGCTTGAGTGTGTCTCCAAAAGGCCCACAGGCTGGAGGTCCAACCTGCACTGTGAAGCAACAAGGCTGGGACCTTCGCGGGAGGGGGTGGTGCCATAGAAGGTGGTTGCATGGCTGGGAGCACTGACACCCTCAGAAGGGATTCATGTGGCTCTCACAGGATTCTGGTTAGTCCTCACATGATTTTTATCAACAGAGCTAGCCTCGTCTCTGAATCTCTCTGACTTTCTGTCATGCCACGTAATCTTCCCCTCTCACACACTCACCAGGACACCATGCACCACGTCCTGATGACAGAGCTGGCCACACTCTCGAATCTCAAGAACTGAGAGCCAAGTAAAGCTCTTTTCTTTATACATTACCCTGAACACCCAGATCTCCTCTTATAATAACATAAAATAGAGGAAAACAGCTCGCCACAAAGGAAGCAAGAGAGGGGAGAGTGGGGCCTCAGAGGTGGGTAGAGCCAGTACACCTCTGCACACGCAGTGGTTTTACATGGAAGAGCCAAGGTAGCAATCAGAAGGAGATCCTAACAGGATAAATGCACACAAATAACAAAACCAGAAGCATTCTCCTCCTCTCATATGGCCTATAACACCATCTACACACACCAGCAGCAGGGTTGTGAAACTAGAATCTAGTATGAGTTCAAGAAAAAGGAGGAAATGTCTGAACAGTTCTTGAATCAGTGTTTACCTGCAGCTCTGCTAGCACTAGGAAAGTTTGAATTGGTTCCCCTGCTAACCCATTAAGCATTAGCCTCCTGCTGTTTTAGAAACCCTCCCAGATGGCCAAAAGCCCTGAGAATCCCTAATAATGTTTCTCCAAACAGCAAGCAAAAATACAAACCAACGTACCACACTCAATGCCCTGAAGTTTCGCCAGGGTGAATGTTAATGTGAAATCAAAGCTTGCCCAAAGGACAGATCTGAGTTCTGATTTCCTGAGGTCTTGTCTCTGCCTCATATCTGCAAGTGATTGCAGATGGTGCGGGGAGCTGCTGCGGACACAGTGGGTGTCAGAAGTGCTGGCTGGGAGTGGGGCTTGCTTTGAGGAGGTGGCCACTGCTTGCAGTGGAGACTTCCGCACACCTCAGAGTCAAGATCAGACAAAGGAGAGCCAGCCAGGGACATAAGTGTCTTTGACACACAGCCTTCAGGTGTAGAGAAACTTGTGTGCTGCTCAGTCCACTCCTTCCTCCTCACATCTCTCCTTAGCTTGATTGTGAAAAAAAAAACAACAACAAAGCTTAAAATGGTTTTTGCTGTCTTTCAGACAGCCTGCAAATCCGTCTTTGATGTTACTCTGGGACACTGTCAAGCTGCTGACAGGTAACCATCAGTTGGGATCATTGTGAAGCATTTGCCAAGTTTTCTGGAACAAAGGCAGCAGTCAATAAATGTGGGAGTAGATCCAGTCTCCAATGCCTGGTGGCTCAGGTGTCTGAACACACACAGGACACCTTATTAGAGTGCAGAAATAGCGCCAAGTCAGATTGGCCATGGACTTTATCTTTCTAACAAATACTTTCACCTACCAGTGTAAAAAGGAGGCACATAGGCCTTGTGAGTCCTATGTGTTGTCTAAATATATAGAGCTGGAACTGAAAGCGCACAGATATAGGATGGGTTCTGTAAGAGTCCACTGTATGATCGATCTGCTCAACAAAAAGCATGACCTAAATGCTCTGGCTGCGTAAGACCCTACCCAGTCAGAGGTCATGCTCAAACCAGGAACAGGCAAATATTTACAATGTGACTGCAGAAGTCCACAGCAGGCTTCCACAGTAGATCCCTTCTCAGTGCTTCATGAGTTACAGAGCCCTGACTTGACCTAACAAGGGAGACTGGTGGGAGGGGCTCAGAACACATGGGCCAAGTCCCCATCTGTAAGGCAGACAGCTTGGTCAAGACTCTAGGTACCACTTTCCCAATAGTTACAGGCAACTGCTATTCTTTGGCATGTGAACAGGAAAGGTGTCCAAGCTCAGAGAAGATTCTAGCATTGTGTTAGACTATGCCAAACAGGCTGGTGTCCTTATGGGAGAACTTAGCTGGAAGATCTCTTGAGACCTAAATGTCATTTGTTCTATTTGAAATAAACATCTTCAGTGCCCCAGAGGAGAGATACAATAAATCATTCCCTAACCTTTCTCACTGACCCTGACTCAGGCTTCTGGAGACAGTTTGGGGAAAAGGAGCTGGAAGGCTTTGTGTCGTTCATTCATTCATCTTCTACCAGAAGTCCAGAAGTGTGTTGCTCTCACCCTGGTCTCCGCAGGGGGGTGGGCAGGGCGGGGGGGGGGGGGGAATAGGGGAACAGGGAGGCCCTTCCCTCACAGCTTTATCCCCATCAGAAGGCAAAATCACAGTCCTGTCCCATGGCCGGGGGCAGGGTGGGGGTGCAGCCTTGTTCCGTGGGATGTGCAGGGTTCTTCCCCCAGAACCTCACACAGGTGCCCATCCCACATCCCTGGCTTCTCCCCTGTGTACTTCACCAGGAGGCTGAGGGAGAACAAGAATCCAGGCTCCTCAGGCAGAATGTCCCCCCTGAGCTGGAGAGAAGGCTGAGGCTACTTATCACTCTGCGTCTGTTCAGTCTCCCCTGTGAGGCACTGTGGTCTCCCGTCTTCTCTCCTGGTTTGCCCCCACTTCTGCCTCTGCTTCATGTCTCTCTCTTGCCCACTCTGTGTTGGAGGCTGTATGTAGGATCAGTGCTCAGCCTTCCTCTCTCCTCCACCATCTCCTAGGACCATCCCATCCATTAAAGCCAAGTTCCATCAATCATGAAAGAATCGTGGTCTATGAAAAGGGCCTGGCTGACCCCCCCTAGCATCACCAGAAAACACGTCTGTCCACAAGGAACCATCCTTAATCTGATGGGTTACAAGTTGCATTGGCCTTCCAATTCCTATTGGGACAACCAACAAGACTGCCCTTCGCAGGCGCAGAGCAGATGTATTCATTTTAAATCATTTCAAATAAATTGATGTTACTAGAGCTGTGGTTTATGTAGTCGAGTGTCAGCTTTGAGAACAAAAAAAGAAAACAGGGGCTGAGAATGTAGCTTAGGAGTAGAGTGCTTACCTAGCATGCATGAAACCCTGGGTTCAACTCCTTAGTACCACATACACAGAAAAAAGCCAGAAGTAGCACTGTGGCTTAAGTCGTAGAGTAAAAGAAGCTCAGAGACAGTGCCCTGAGTTTCAAGCCCCAGGACTGGAAAAAAAAGAAAGGAAGAGAAGAGGAGAGGAGAGGGGAGGAGAGAGGAGGGGAGGGGAGGAGAGGCAAGGCGGGGAGGAAAAAGAAAAGAACAAAACAACAAAAAACCAGTGTGCGACCCTGAGTTCTAGCCCCAATACTAGAACAAAAAAAAATCAGTGTTCAAAGGAAGATGGCTATCCATCCCAATGGTTTCCAAATTCTCTATATACATATAATAAATACCTTAAGGAAGACCACACATGAGCCAAAGGCATAATAAATACCTTAAGGAAGACCACACAAATATTGGAGCGAAACTCAGTCCCAGTTTCCAACTCTTGCTCATGTTTCACGTTTTCTCTTCAAATCCACTTGGCCCAGGCAACTTCTTCCAACACTCTGAATTTTAATGATGGAGGGGAGCCTAAAATGCTTCCACAATTTTAGTCCAGCACTTATGTGCATATGAAAAGCATGCTTGCCAGGGGCCAGTGGGGTTGAGATCTGAAGATCTCAGTTTGACGCCAGCCCAGGCAGGAAAAGTCCATCAGACTCTCTCTTTTTTTTTTTTTTTTTGGCCATTCATAGGGCCTAAACTCTGGTCCTGGGCGCTGTCCCTCAGCTCTTCAGCTCAAGGCTAGCGCTCTACCACTTGAGCCATAGCACCACTTCTGGCTTTTTCTGCTTATGTAGTGCTGAGGAATTGATCCCAGGGCCTCATGCATTCGAAGCAAGCACTCTACCACTGAGCCACCTTCCCAGCCCCCCCATCAGACTCTTATCTGGAAGTAGAGCTGTAGCTCAAACCGTAGTGTGTTAGCCTTGAGCACAAAAGCTCAAGGACAGTGTCTAGGCCCCAGAGTTCAAGCCCTAGAACCAGAAGAAAGAAAGCAAAAGTGTATGTGTGTGTGTGTGTGTGAGAGAGAGAGAGAGAGAGAGAGAAGTAAGCAAGCATCTTTTTGAAGAGATGGAACTATTCAGTGGCTCCTTTTGATGGTGGGCTGTGGTCAGGCCTCCTTTGCTCAATGCATGAATAGTGTGTGACATCAGAATCACAGAGACAGTTGTTTGGAAAAAGGAAACTTTCTTCCCAGTATGTGTCATTAAAACTGTGACCATGCAGGAGCACTAGTTTAAAAACAAAACCAACAACAGAACACCAGTGCCCAACTCACCTCAGCTTCGCCTGCCTGTCCAATCCAACCACTTTCCACACCACCTGCTGGCAGAAGCCATAGCACATGAAGAGCACCGAGTTCTCGGCTATGTTGGCGATCAGCGCCGGGCTGGTGCCCTTGTAGAAACCACGGAGGCCCACCTGGGAGTAGGTCTTCAGGCAGCAGTCAGTGAGGCCCCGATACAGGTCAGGGAACGTCTGCATCTTCACCTTCATTGTGTCAAAGGGCTGTCCGGTCAGTACACATGCTGTTCCCCCTGGAAGCAGGACAATTCTGAAGCATGAGTCTGCAGCTTTCTCTGTGAAAGACATGTGGCCAGCCCCAGAGGCTTATCTTTTTCCCTTCTTTCTGGCTCCTTTTCTCCCCAAACCTTCTAGCTGAGTCCAGTAAATAACTTCCTACTGTGCCCAGTCCTAGAAGCTCCCATTTGCAGGGAGGACCTGTGTTCTACAGTCCCAGCCTCAGGCTACCAAGGGGTGGCAATCCCAGGGACCATGAGGTCCTAGGCAGGGGATGCACCTTGGAATCTCTGTCTCTCCCCCATGCCCACCTCATAGGGTAGCACTAAAGTTAGCGGTGGCAGGACTTGGCACACGCCTCCCACCCAAGTGGTTACAACAGTGTAGCTAATGTCTGGGAGTGACAGGAGCCACACACAGGGTGAGGGAGAAACTCCCTGACCTCATGCCTGCTCAGCTGGCCTGCAATCAGAAAAGCAACCGTGGTTCAGACACCAGGTAAAGGGAGGGGCCTGGCTACTTCATCCCACAGAGAACAGAGCTGACCCCTGCCGGAAACCTCTTTAACTTGAACTCTAATGGTTAATATTCTGCAGCATTCAGAGCAGGTCAGACTAAGATTTACTCAACAGGATTGAGAAGTACCTACAATGAGCAGAATAAACCCTTCCTTCCTTAAGTAGGTTTGCTCAAGTATTTGTCACAGTGACAGAAAGTCCAACTAACACAGTAGCATTCAGATTGTTAATCTTCAACACAAGCAGCAAATCAAATCACAAAGCACTGAAGCCATCTGTCAGCAGGGGCATCATGAGTAGAAGAAAGGATAGCTCACAAGACGGTCAGATGAGGGAACTTCAAAATACCCAACCAATAACAGCCCAGCTCAAAGGGGCAGTGGAACATACAGTTCTTAAGACAGTCCCGTCCCAAAAGGTTTTTGAAAGCCAGGCACTGGTGGCCAATTCCTGCAATCCTAGCTACTCAGGAGGCTGAGATCTAAGGATTACAGTATGAGCCAGCTCAGGCAGAAGAGTCCATGATACTCTTACCACCAAAAAAAAAAAAAATACAAAATAAACACAATGTAGAAATGGAGCTGTGGTTCAAGTGAAAGAGTGCCATCCTTGCACAAAAAAGCTAAGGGACAGCGCCCAAGCTCTGAGTTCAAGCCCCATTTATGGGCGCACACACACCCAAAAGGATTTTTTTTAGTTGTTTTCCATTTAGACATTTAAGAGGCTAAGTTTCAATGACTCAAAATACCCCATCTCCCCACTATGGGACCTAAGAAGGCACAGCACACAGTGGCCAGATAGCTGCTCTGCTACAACACTGGAATTGTTAAACTACTGGCTCTTAAAGTACTACCCAGACTTGTTTCAGGTCATTCACTTTTGAGGATCCCTGATATCTCGTTTCAATAACTACCCAACTATCTGCTTTAAATTCCCCTTTTTAGCTTCCCAGGATCCTGTCCTAGAACTTCTGCAGCAAGCAGACAGGGACAATGACTTCTTGGCACTTTAGAAGACGTAAACTGGATAGAAAAACCTGCCTGGCAGGAGATCTTTGTTTAAATTTTAAAACACACTCCCCTCCCCGCCAACACACACACCAAAAAAAAAAAAAAAAAAAAAAAAGACACAGTTCCAAAGCCAGACACCAGTGCTCACATCTGTAATTCTAGCGACTTAGGAGGCTGAGATCTGAGAATCACAGTTCAAAACCAGCTTGGGCAAGAAAGTCCGTGAGACTCTCATCTCCAAAAAACTACTCAGAAAAAGCCAGAAGTGGCATTGTGGCTCAAGCACTAGAGTGCTAACCTTGAGCACAAAGAGGCTCAGGTACAGTGGCCAGGCCCTAAGTTCAAGCCTCAGGACCGGTCCCAGCCTCCCCTCCCCCCAAAAAAAGTAGGACTGCTGCTTCCTTTTTTAGGTCATCCACACTAGGATGAAAGCCCTTTGTCACTTAGTGAGGTATGAGTTGCTATGCCTGCCAGGAGCTTGTCCTAGGCAGGGGCAAACCTGTGTTGCTGAGCTCAGGAAAGAAATACCTTCCCCAGAGGCTGCAGGAATACAAAGTATCAATATGTAGAAGGTCTGAAACATGGTATTACTATTGTTAAATATATACATACCAGGCTTAACTCAAGGTAAATATGTTGCAATTTACATTTAAAACGGATTTTACTTATGATATACAAATACCTGAATGAATAGAAACAGAAAAAGGTATAAGCCTTATAAGTTGATCACAACAGATAGATCTTCCACTGACTGACAGGAGGACATAAAATGCCCCAAGTTGGAAATCTCTTCCGTGTTATAAGCACTCCTACTACAGAGATGAGAATTGTACCCAGAACATTCCCCAGACGCTACTAGGAAGCCAGAGGAGGGTGGGAAATTGTGCCATTCTCACAGTGTCCTCAAGGGTAGCAATGGGGAAGGGGAGGTGGTTCCCAGGGTGCCTGGGGAATTACAGTTCTCCTCCATAGAGTGTAGGGGTCTGCCCAAAAGGTACATAGTTGACTAGAGCCCTCTAGGTGCAATGTAGCCAGCTGTCAGGCCTGCTCACTGGTCTGGAACAGCTGCCTATGGTCTCTAATCTGGAGAGGTATGCTTCTCTGGGATCTTTATAGTATCTGAAATATGCTGTCTGAAGCTTTCTCACTAGCCTACTTTGGCCAACCTTTGGTTCATGGAAAAAACTTTGCTCTTCTCTGAACAAGGATTTTTTTTTTTTAATACAACTGGGCAAAGGACAGTTTGAGAGATGGTGCCCACCCTTCTTCCCCTCCTCCCCCCCCCCCCCCATCACACTTGGTTTGCTGAGCCAGGAAGTACCATTTGGATAAGAGAGCATTGAGCAACAAACACACCCTTTGCCCCTGAGGTAAAAGAAGACGCTAATAAAACAAAATGACATGGGAGACAACCCAGTTTTGCCCCAGACTCAACTTCCCACTGTGCCTGCATCTTAAAAGTGATCATTCTAAACTGTTGGCTGCACGTGGCTAGTGCTGGCTTCAGCCTGCCCTTGGGCTCAGGCTCTAAAGGTCAGCCTGAGTAGCTCAGTAAGTCCCAACAAGATCTATTACCTCTTCTTTTCTTTCCTGACTGTAAGACAAGTGGAGGGTCAGTCTTCCTTCTAAAGGGGACCCTCTTTCCTTCCCAGCACCACTAAAGGCAGGGCTACTAAGAGGTGGCCCACCGTTATTTTTGTATGACAAAGGATCTGAAGACTGTCAAGTTTAGGGTAGAAGTCCAGTGTCACTGCATATCTTAGCCAGGTGGCAGTAAACATGACTTCATCTCTGAGCCATTTTCCAGTAGTTCTCTTTACCCTGACTGCTGCAAGTTTTAATGTAACAGATATTATTCTACCTATTGTCATGTTCTGAACAATTTCAAATTGCCATTAAGTGGATTCATTCCATGGGTATGGGGTATCACCTGACAGGACAACAGGAATGCTCTTAAACCACTTTCTTTCAGTCCCACTGAGAAGCTTGAAGAACACAGAGAGCAGTTTGCTCTGGGATTACCTGCGGCTCCTGCGGTGAGGTCAATGGCAGCTTGGATGGCAGGATTGGACTTCATGGTGCCACTGGCATTTGCGGGAGACAACTTTCTGGAACTCAGGACAGGCACCGATATTCCTGGGAGGAGGCAAGAGCCTATCATTAGCCCAATCTCTGCAGCACACATTTTCTGTGCTTGTTGCACAGTTACTACACCTGAATTTCTGGGGACTGAGAAGAAGGCTCCTAAGGAATTGGACTTGGGGTATCAATGTAGCTGAGTGATGTACTGCTCCATAAAAAGTTCACACCCCCTAGCTCAAAAATAAAATCCTTCCCTGAATTTCATTGCTTCAGCCCTCACCGGTAATTTGACAAACCTTTAGGAAAACCTTACAAATGAATACCAGGTAAGAAGGCCACCACAGACATCCCAAACCACAACAGACTAGTTTTTCAGAGCCTGAAAATAGCAGCCTGTGCTGGGAGACCCATAAGTTTTGAGAAGTGCATGCAAGAAGTCTTGACCCCGGGATCAAAACCCCTGCAGAGTCACTCAAACCTATTGAGAGTGCCTGCTCTATGACAAAAACCACACACACACACACACACACACACACACAAAACAAAAACAAAACTCATGGGACTGATATATCATGCATTCTCAGAGCAAGACCCTCCATCCACCCCAGCTTTTCCCAGCAGTAAACAAGCAGGTTCACCAGTGGTCAGGGTACAAAGCCAATTCTGATTCAGCAGGCCTCAGGTGGGACCAGGCTTAAGTTTCCAAGGTGAGGTTGATAATGCAGGCCTTCCAACCACACTTGAAGCATTAACACCTTGGGTCATTAAGTTCTCCATTTGTTTTGAGAATCACCTGGGGACACTTTTTCAGTGTTTCCTAGGCTTCTCTCCAGTTGAGTCTTGATTTGGTATTTTTGAGTTGTAGCCCACAGAGTTTGGGAAAGCTATTATAAACTATTCTCTAAAGTTAGACAAAAATCAACTACTGGTGAGACATGAACTTCATAAATACTGAATCGAAAGAAAAATAGGCAATGTTTTAACACATAGGATTAAAATAACCAATTCAGCAACCAATTTTATGCAGTTTTCATTCAAACAATGGAGTGATTTCTAAGTAAATAACAAGGGACAAATTTCATTCCCTATCTTATTGCAAACTTTGGCACAGATCAGAGATGAAGGGCAAAGGTCCTTTCAAACACATTGTCCTAAATAGAAAATAATGCTAGCCAAGGTTTTCAGTCACTTTTTGCACTTTGCCAATGAACAAACTCCAAAATGGAGACCAGTTTTGTTTTTTTTTCCAAAGGAATGCAACCCGTAGGTGGAAGGAAGGAGGAAAGAGAGGAGCAGGGAGAGAGCAACAGAGAAACAGGGAGACAGACAGAAACCGAGAGACAGAGAGAGAGAAATTATTAACTTGGCAAGTTTTTAAGTCTTTTAAACCTGTACGTTCAAATGCATACCTAATTCCAGGGTTTACCAAGCTGGCCAAAAACAAACCCAAAATATTCAACCCTGCATTTTAGGGGAGGGAAAGAAAAGGAGGCAAATATATAGATAGACAAGACTATCTAACGTGGGTCCTTAGATAAACCTCTAAGAATGATAAGTATAGAAAAAGGCCACAGATACTAAACAAACAAACTCAGAAGTCGTACAAAATGACACGAGAGCCGGGCATTGCTGTGGCTTGGAAAAGACGCGGGACTTGCGGGACCCAAGAGCTGGTGGTCAGCATGAATCTAAACCAGTGTGTGCGCTTGCTGTAAGAATGGAGACACTGAATCTCTTCGGCGAGCCGTGGCCTGACTTTTCAAACCACCCCAGGGTCCGACTCGGTGGACACGAACACCAAAGCTAAGCCCAATTTCCTCCTCGGTCCTGGGGGGAAGCAAATTTCTCAGGTGGTAGAAGCGCAGGCGGCCCACACTTTTCCACTTAGGACAATCGCAGCTGGACGGCGCTGGCCCATCGCCTTAGGAGCCCTTCGGCCGGACGCAGAGATCTGGGGGTGCAATCCCGCCCAAGCAGTCCGACCAGGCGCGACTCCCGGTAGCCGACCAACCCTCCGCCCGCCGTCGCTGCCCGCACGCGACCCTGCCGCCGCCCGCTGCCCGCGCGCCGCCCATTCATAAGCCCGGCCGGGCGCCTGGCCAGGCGACAGGACTCGGGGCAGAGGGCAACGTGGTCCAAAAGGTAGGCTCTGCATGAAGGAGGCCCAGGAGCTCCAGGGGCTCCGGCGAGACCCTGCCAGCGCCATTGGCTGCGCACGGGTCCCCTGGCACGCGTGGTGCCGGTCGCCTCCCGGGCCACCCGGGAAGGTCAGGCCGCCCAGCTCTGGAGCCCGTCCCGCGCCCGTCCTCCCTCTTCGCGCGCGCCCCGCTCACCGCCACGTCGGCTTGGCCGTGCTCTGCACGGGCTGTGCCGCCTGCTCCACGATCCTGGGACTCCGCGGCCCGCGCGGCCCAGCGCACTCCCGGGAAGCGGAAGTCGGCGGGGACCGCGCGGCCGCGGCGGCCCGGAGCTCCTGGGCTGGGGATGCTCGCTAGACCCCTGCGCCCCTGCGCACCGCCTGGACAGGACTCAGCGGTGCCCTGTCGCTACAGGGGCTCCCTGAGGACCCGAGGCTGAGAGGCTGTGGTTTAATGGTAAATTGCAAACGAAGATGATGAAAAATTGGATGAAATATGGTGAAGAATTGGATGAAAAATTAGTGTGCACATTGCCAGTTATTATTATTATTATTATTAGCAATATTTCTCCCCCAAGGAAATCCACCCCCAGTGACATTCTGGCAAATATCCTGATGAAAACTGCAGATCCAACTCAGCCTCTCCGGTCTCAGTTTCTGATGAATGAAATGTTATCTGGGGTTCTCCGGCGCATTTCTGCAAAGCTGAAAATGTACATCGGAGTGAGTTTTAATTCTGAGCTAGCCACCTGCTCAACTGGAAGGATCTTTGGATAGATCTTTCGTATAGTACTTATTCACTACCTTCCCATTGCTTTGATTCAGGCTTTCTTGCTTTCCTTTCATTTTCTGCCTTGTCTTTTGTGTGTTTTGGGGGTGGAAACAGAGTCCAACTATGCAGCCCAGGTTGACCTTAGCGTCAAATCCTCCCTCCTGAGTGCTGGATTCCCGCTGTGCACCACCACAACCATTTGTGTTTTCTTCCTTGAAACATTGAACTCTAGAAGACTAAAAGGGAGCCAGACGCTGGTGGCTCACGTCTGTAATCCTAGCTACTCAGGAGGCTGAGATCTGAGGATTGCAGTTAAAAGCCAGCCTGGACAGGACAGAACTACCACAATGAAAGCCCTTTTACAATGAATACATACTAATAAAAAATAAATTGAAGAAATTACACTTCCAAAGAATGACCCAATAGCCTGTAGTTCCAGCTACCTGGAGGAGATAGAGTACAGATGGCTGTTCAAAGCCAGCTGGAGCAAAAGAAAAAAAGTCCAAGAGACTCTGTTAGCAAAATGAGTCCTTTCCCGTAGCTTAGTCCATTTCTTGCCCTCTCCACAGCTTGGCATGCTCTCTTCCTAAGCAACACTAGGCCCATCTAGTAAAGGCAGTAAATAACCAACTTCCAACCCCCTTTACCTTGGGATGGCACTTCTCTGGGGCAGCTACCATCATATAAGGCAACAAGAGCCCCTTAGAGTGACCTTCAGGTCTGGGCAGTTGCAGGACCCCTTATCTACTATTTGGATAGCAGCCATAAACCCTAGTCCGCCATGATGAAGCTCCTGGCCCACAGGTCTACACCAGGGTCTCTACCTCCTAGCCCCTTCTAGCCCCTCCTAAACCTCCTAGGTTACATAGGTCACCCAGACAATAGCTGGTGCTTCTTCTCATTCCTCCCTTGTGAGAAGGAGTCTTGCAGGCCCCCTTTCCCAGCAATAAACCTTTCTTTGTTCTCTGTACCTGGATGTCTGCGTGGTTCTCTGACAAAGTCTATTAATCTTAATTTTGCTAAGAGACTCATTTTCCAATTGACCAGCAAAACGCAGTACTGAACACCAGGTGCCAGTAGCTCACACCTTAATCTTAGCTACTCAGAAGGCTGAGATTTGAGGATCAAGGTTCAAGGTTAGACCAGACAGGAAAGTCTGTGAAACTCTTAGCTTCAATTAACCTGCAAAAGGTGCAAGTGGAGCTAGCTCTAAATGGTATTCAGACCTTAGAACTACCCCACCCCCAAAATAAAGTAGAACTCAAGTGGTAGAGCACCAGCCAGCCACCAGATTTTTTTTTAGTTTAAGCCTTGAACTGACAATAAAGAAAAAGGTGAAGGAGGAGGAAGAGGAAGAGGAGGAGAAGAACAAGAAGAAAGAATAAGAAAAGGAGGAGGAGGCCGAGCACCGGTGGCTCACGCCTGTAATCCTAGCTACTCAGAAGGCTGAGATCTGAGGATCACAGTTCAAAGCTAGCCTGGGCAGGAAAGTCAGTGAAACTCTTTTCTCCAATAAACCACTCAGAAACCTGGAAGTGGGGCTGTGGCTCAAGTGGTAGAGCGCTCGCCGTGAGCTGAAGAGCTGAGGAACAGCACCCAGGCCCAGAGTTCAAGCCCCATGACCAACAAAAAAAAAAAAAGAAAGAAGGAAAAGGAGGAGGAGAGGGGAGGAGGAGGAGGACAAGAAAGAAGAAATGAGGAGGAGGAGGAGGAGGAGGAAGAGGAGGAGGAAAGAAAGAAAGAGAGAAAGAGAGGAAAGAAAACTAAATTTCCAGCTTGTAGGACATGGCATTGCATTATTGTCCATTAGTCTCAATGATTGTGGGCATGGATCAGTGACTTAATATTTGACATGGCATGTATTAGTGCTTAATGTTGAGAGCAAGAGACCTCCTGGGTCACAGTGGTGGCTATAAAGATATCTATCGGGGAACTCAATAAACAGGGCAGTCATTGGTATTAGAATTTGAATTTCTGGAACATAATTGAACAGAAACAAGCTATAGAGTTTGCATGGCTTGCCTAAAGTGACTTGTAACAAGCTAGGATATTCCACAGCCTAGCAATGCCACTTGCCCCAAATGGTTTTGCTGAGGAAAAAGAGACCAAAAGGAAATATAATTAAGGACACACCTGGATC